GCTAATAGGTATTCTAATAAGAATTACTAAATTATATATACTTTTTATAGTAGTAATAATATAATAATTACTAATACTATAGCTAAATACTAAATAAAGCTTTACTCTACCTATTAATTAGCTATCTCTATTATAATAGAACTTAGATCTTCTTTATATAAGTTAAGAGTAATTAATAAAAGTAGTAATTATATTAAAGTAGAGCTAAAGAAAATTAAAGTAAAGTAACTTAGTAGAGCTAGATTAGTTACTTCTTTAGTAAATCTAGAGAAGTAGGTATACTAAGAGCGCTAGACTAGTCTTAAGGTAGTTAAGAAAAGAGTAGTAGTAGCTAAGTTATAGAAATTAAGGCTTTATAGTATATAAACTAGCCTTCTACTACTACTACTACTACTTAGTACTAGTGCTCTAAAATCTACTCTAGCTTACTAATTTTTATCTAAGAAGATAGATACTACGCTTAATAAAGATAATTTAGAAAATAAAAACTAGAATTCTAATAAGCTTAAGGCTTTAACTATAGCTAAGAACTATAAATATCTAGATAGAACTTCTAATTTTCTTTAACTAATTCTTAATAGCTACTCTAAGTATACTAAACTTAATAACTATAAACGTATTAAAGTTATCTAAGTATAGTATTAAAAAGTCTATATTAGTTACTACTCTAATAGCTTATTAATTAATAGCACTTATATCTATTAGACTTATATATAAGTAATAGCTACTTATATAAGTCTCTTTAAGTAGGCTATAAATATAAAAGCTATAAATAATATTCTTCTTCTTCTATATCTTTTCTAAGACAAGTAGTATAAACTCTAAACCTACTTAATTATATCTATTCTTTTTATTAAGTAGTATAAGCTTAGTAAATAAGACTCTAACTTTTTTAGCTATTACTTTTATTTTTAGATAGTTTATAATCTATACCTAATTTCTTTTTAAAAAAAAGTTAGTAAAAAGATAAGTTAGAGTAAGCTAGTAGAAAACTTTAAGTAAAAGAGTAATATTACTATAGAAAACTTTAAGTAGCTATTCTTTAATAATAAGAAACTTAAAAAGATTATTAAAGAATTTTTTAAGATATATTATTACTATCTCTAACGTATTAATAGTAATAAGAACTTTAGCTAGCTTTATATTATATACTATTCTCTTATTTAATAAGCTATTTATACTAACTTTTATTACTAGATACTTTACTTAGTACTTTATAAAGAATATACTATAGTTTTCTACTCTTACTACGCTAAGTACACTATACTAGGTAACAAAACGTTCTTCTACTATATTAATTTTAATCTATTATTTATCTATACTTAAAGTTAAAGTATAGATATAATCTAAGAATTAGTCTTAATTAATAATAAGAACTTTTAAAACTATATAAAAGTTTTAGAGAGCTTCTATTAATATATAAAGCTATACTTATAATAGCGTAAGACTACTAAGAAGAATTCTACTAGCCTTATTAAAGAATAGTATAATAATATTAATTAAACGTAAGAAGTATAAGTAATAGCGCTAGATATAAAGTAGAAAAAGTCTATTTATAGAGAAGAAAACATTTATATTACTTACTTTATAACGCTTTATAGCTCTATAGAACTAGTAACTAAGATTTATTAAATAATTCTTCTATAGTATATTATAGTATACTAAGATATTATAGAGATTCTAGCTATAGAAATATATAATAAGATCTTAAAGGCTTATTATAATCTTATAGCCTCTTCTATAATACTATCTAGATATTATAATAAGTATAGTAGTATTAAGTAGGTATTTCTAGTAAATATATATATTAACTTCTTCTTCTAGATCTAAAAGGCTATTTTTACGTAAGTCTTCTAGAATAGCTCTCTTATACGCAAGAAAATCTATAACCTTCTTAGTAAAAATAAAAATAGTATTCTAGAGTATATCTAAAAAGAGTATAAGTATATTATTAGAAAGATTAAGGCGCTATAGCTAGTAGTTAAAAAGCTTAAGAAGGCTACCTTTACTAAGAGCGCTAATAGCAAATATTTAAATATTTTCTTCTTTACTAATAAGAGTATATCTTCTTCTTATAAGAGATAGTAGTATATTTAGAATTATAATTATAATATAGAAGATACTATTAAATATCTTATTAATAAGATTAATATAGAACTAGATATTTATTACTACTTCTATAACGCTACTAACCTTAATACTATATCTACTTCTTTCTCTCTATTTAAGACTTCTTAGGCTTACACTAGTAGTTTAGCGTTTAGTTTATTATTACTTTTTAGCTCTTTACGCTCTTTAATAATATTACTACTACTAGTTCTACTACTTTCTCTTTAGTTTAAGATACTAATACTAGCTTTATTAGCTTCTTCTACTAGCTTATCTAAGCTACGTTATAGTAGATAGAATATAAAGTAAACTAGACGTACTAGTAATATTACTAGTACTTAGATTTTAGGTAAGCTTCTTATTTTACCTAAAATCTAACTACTACTTATACTATAGTAGTGTATTACTAATATCTCTACTTAATTATTTATTTTACTTTTTACTCTCTTTTCTATACTTTTTCTTTATCTTTTCTTTATACTATATATAATTAATACATTTTAGATAGTATAATAAAACTATACTACTAGAAAGAAAAGGTTTATACTAGTATATAAGATATTCTTATATAAATTAGATCTTTAATAACCTAAGAATTACTTAGAAAAGAGAACATCTTTTTAATAAAAGCTTTTTAGAATTATTAGATTATCTACTATCTTATCTTTTACTTATACTTTTTAGTATTAGACTCTTATATAATACTTTAGACTATAGAATCTCTTTATAATAGAACTTTTTTCTACTAAACTAATATTTATATATTTTCTTACTTATACTAACTACTTTATGTTTTTGTAGTAATACATCTTTATACTCTCTAATACCTATACATTACTACTAATAATAAAGTATTTAATACTATTATACTTAATTACTTTCTTATTAAGCTTAATTAAATTAAAATATAAAATCTAGCTAATATTTAACTTTTTTTTACTTAGTTTAAAAAACTTTATTATAATATTAGTACTATAGAAGATATATTATTTTATACTTAGCTTATTAGTAAGATTAGAGCTTCTTTAACTAAATACTATAATCTATTTCTTAACTACTAGAAAATATTTAACTATAATATTAAGATTACTAATACTATATTTAAAAACTTTAAGTTTCTTTTTATTAATTTTTATAATAAGTATAAAAACTTCTAAAATAATACTAAAGATACTAAGCTTTATAAAGCTAATAATAAAAGTAATAATAGAAATAAGTTTATTACTAAGACCTTTTCTAGTAAGTGTATTATATACTTTTATTATAAAAGTAATAGTTACTTTATTAATATATATAAGTACTTTAGTAAAGTAGATATCTTTAAGTATACTTATAAAAACTATAGTAAGCTTAGTATAAGAATATAGCTTTTATAAACTTTATAAGTTTACTTAAAGCTATCTTTTTACTTTAACTTTAAATATCTTTATCTTTAAAGCTACTAGACTTTACTAAAGCTACTAAACTCTACTAAAGCTACTAAACTCTACTAAAGCTACTAGACTTTTTAAAAAAGATATTTACTACTATAAGCTAGTACTATCTAGTACTAGCTTTTACTAGCTTTTTTTTTTTTTTATATAGATCTAGCTAGACTTTTTCTTTCTTAGATTTTATATCTACTATTCTTAACTCTAAATATAAGCTATTTTCTAACTAGTTTACTTTTCTATATATAAAGTCTACTTTATATAATAGTAGATTTTATAAGTATTTTTACTTACTATAAGCTTTTAGTCTTAATAAAAATAAGTAGCTTTTACTTATTCTTAGTTATTATATAGAATTATAGCTTTAGTTACTAGCTTTTTACTAAGTTTAGTATCTTTAGATAGTAAAAAAGCGCGCTAAAATTTTAGTGCTTTAATTACTACTAGTGTAGATTAGATTTAGACTTTATCTTAGTATACTATTAAGTAAAAAAAAATAGCTCTCTTACTATAAAATAGTTTTTACTACTTAATAGTCTAAAGCTATAGTTTTTACTTTACTTATTTATTTATCTTTACGCGTTTATATATATATACTCTATTTCTAGCTATAAACTTTTAAGTTTAGTAGACTAGTAAATTTTAGAAATTTTACCTATTATATAGATAAGTACTTATTATAGTAAAGTATTAATATAGAGTAAAGTAATAAAATATAGTTAGTAACTTTATATAGTAATCTTAATATAGGTATATTTTTTAAATACTTTATATTTACTATATATAACTATAAAAATTAATAAAACTCTTTCTCTAATATTTACTATAAATATAGATAGTAATAATATACTTATAAAGAGTAATAGTAATAAAGGCGTCTTTAGTAGACTTAAAAATAGACTTAAAAGTAGTAATAAGTAAGCTATAAGCTATAGAGCTAGAGAAATATTAAAATATTCTTAAAAGTTAATATAGAAGCTTTCTAAGAGAAAGCTCTTAGTAGAAAGAGTAAAAGTTAGAGCGTAGCGTCTTTCTCTTAGCTATAGAAGTAGATAGATAGAAGTTTAGATAGCGTAGATAAACTTTAGGTCTAGAATAATATTAAATTATAGTACTACTACAAAATACAAAAAGATATTTACGTATATAAACTATAGTATAGAAAATAGTAGTCTAGAGAGAACTATAAAAACTTTATATATAGAGAATACTTTTTTTTTTTTTTTTTTTTTTTTTATATATTTACTTTATAATAGGTTCTAAAAAGGCTATTAGTTAGAATTCTATTACGTAATTTACTTACGCTAGCACTAGTATTACCTTAGTATTATTTATATATATATAAGGCTTTCTCTCTCTTCTATAGAACAATTACATCTCTTCTTGTTCTACACAAGGCGCGCCGCTACTGCAGTAGATACCCGCGGCCACGTTGTATCTCAAAGTACCAGTGATGTTCTTCTAGGTAATGTCGCTAATTTTTAAGCGGCTCGAATCGCAATTCTGGTAGCTGTAGATACACGGGGAGACGTATATAGGCTGGTTGACGTCCTGAAACTTGATGTTGCGGAAGGTGACGTTCTTCACATGGCCTTGGCCAGGGTATGTCTTGATCCAGGCCGCGTTGGAACTATGGATGGCAGTGATGTCTTCGAAGAGTACGTTGTCTACCGTCTCGGGAACGTTCGTGGGATTGCCCATTGAGCCAATCACCATGGCGCCAGACTCGTAGCAGGTGGCGTTCTTGACATGGATGTTTTTGCTGTTGCCTTTAACCGATATGCAGTCCTTCGAACAGATTAGGTATAGCACAGACGCGAGATCGATGAGGACTTACATCGCCGCACGTCACGACCCAATTTTTGAGCACAATGTCTTGGGAGTTCCAGCTATCGAAGCCATCAGTATTGACGGTGCCCCACTGGGAGGATGAAGTGGCGTTCATGTCAAGGTTTGTCATCGTGATGTTCTGGGAGTAGGCGACGAATGTATGCCTTTTGTGCGGTTAGCAATAGGCTCTGGAACGGGTAACTATGGTCCCTCATGTTTTTGTAGAGACATACCAGAACTGGGACTGCCTCCAAGTAATTCCATCAATCCATACGTTCTTCGCATGCCAGAGTGTCAGACTGATGGGCCTACCGGCCATGTTGCTCCCATCACGGTTCACGTCGTACCACTTCTGCCCATTGCCAAAGAAGAGTGCTTCACCGTGACCTTGCAGAGTGAAGTTCTCACCGCCAAGACGGAATGCTGTACTTCGTTGAGAATATGTCACACTAACGCTGTTGCGTACCCAGTACTGGATGTCGTCGCTCCAAGTCAGTTTGCCGCGGATGGAGATGTCACAGTTCTTAAGGTCCAGGACGTCCATAACTTTGGCGATGGTGTAGTCACCTGTCGTTATCCCAATCTGACCGTTCTGGCCACATTGCTTGAAGGCGTCCATGATGGAAGGGCTGTCATCCTTGGTGCCGGACGGAGTGACGGTGCAGAGTGTGCCGGTCTTGGTCATACCAGCAAGTGCTGGTACGAGCAGAAGCCATAGATGAAGTAAAGCGAGCTGAATCATTTTGTCGACTTCGAACAGAGTCCTGTAGAGTAAGGAACAGTGGAGAAAAGCTAAGATACTCAAGCTTTATGAAAGCTTGTACGGTGGGACCGTTGCGCCCCGCAAGCAGGTGTCATCCTACAGACTATACGCATGGAGTAATCTGAGAAATTCTACCATTGGTGCAAGTATTATCTGAGATGGTAGTTTCTCCGTGCGAGTGCCCGTACCACCGGATGTTGTTCGGCTCTTGAGCTCTGAGCAATCTAATAGATGAACAGGCCGGGATATCGCTGTGGGGAGCGAAGAAGTGTGTCGGAAAGCTCTATGCGAAGAGCAGATCAAGCTGGGGATGGACTTCTCGATGGCGCATGACTGGGCATCCGAATGAGATCTGGTGTCCGGCCAATGATGAAGACTGGGACATCAGGAGCCCTTGTGAGATCAGATCCCGAGGAGGGCTAACGGAGTAAGATAATCCGCAGTTACAGCCTACTGAACGAGGCCTCTAAAGGTGACCCGTGGGAAGACCAGATCGATAATGTTTGAGTCGTTGTTGAAACCGAGTTTTGAGATTGGTACGATGATCATGCTTGGGAATCGAGTATGCGCCATATGAGTAGGGGCGAGACGTCAAATCAAATGAGAGCGGGATACGCGAGAAGGATCGACTGCATTGCAGATGTGTCGTATACAACCACAAAATTAGGTTGTGTAGAGAAGGAGAGGATGTAGGAAACGCGGCACCGGTACTTGGTGCCAAGCCCGCGTCATTGGCTGGTTCCGAGCTTCCTCACGGCTCAAAGTCGGCAGCGCCATCTCGACCAGGCAATTGTGCAGCCATTGAGTGTCGCATGGGCTGCCTATCACACCCATGATGATGAATTCCGCCGCGAATATGCGTGCTCTACGCGTACGGCCATCGATACCGCGCTGCCGCCCCTCACATCGCCCGTTTCAGCACCCCAGAAGACAAGCCACGACGGCCACGGAAGCCGCGACCAACGTTGGATCGGCTGGTACCCGTACCAAGAACCTCGTATACGGCACCCTCCTGACGCTCGGTGGTACCTTTGGCTACCTCTACGTCACCGACACGCGCGCGAGCATTCACGAATGGCTTGTTGTGCCTGCGCTGCGACAAATATACCCAGATGGCGAAGAGGCGCACCATGCTGGAACACACATGCTCAAGGTGCTGCATAGCTTTGGCCTGAACCCCCGGGAACGCGGCGTGGCTGACTCCCAGGGTGATCTGGCTGTCGAAGTCTTTGGACACACACTGAACAACCCGATTGGAACATCTGCCGGCATTGACAAGGGCGCCGAGATACCGACACCGCTGTTCGAGCTCGGAGCAGGAGTGGTAGAGGTGGGAGCTGTCACGCTGCTGCCACAGGAGGGCAACCCCAAGCCTCGTGTCTTCAGAATACCAAGCCAGAACGCTCTCATCAACCGCTACGGCTTCAACTCGGAAGGCGCCGAGCTGGTCGCCTCACGGTTACGACAACGCGTCAGGGAATTTGCATACCACGCTGGCCTTGGACTAGGTGAAGACGCCGAACGCCAGGTCCTCGACGGTGAAGCTGGCGTTCCACCGGGCTCGCTGCTCAAGGGGCGTCTAATGGCCGTGCAGGTTGCGAAGAACAAGACGACCTCCGAGAACGACATCGATGCTGTAGTACGCGACTATGCCACCGCCGTGGGCCATGTTGGCAAGTACGCCGACATTCTAGTAGTCAACGTCTCCTCGCCCAACACACCTGGCCTTCGCACTCTCCAAAACGTCGAGCCCTTGACGCGGTTGCTCTCCGGAGTAGTAGGCGCCGTCAAGAAGATCGACCGCAAGACAAAGCCTGTTGTTATGGTCAAAGTCAGCCCCGATGAGGACTCGGAAGAGCAGGTGTCAGGCATCTGTGAGGCAGTCTGGGACTCCGGTGTGGATGGTGTCATCGTTGGCAACACCACGAAGAAGCGACCAGACCCACTGCCGAAGGGCTACCTACTTCCCCAATCAGAAGCAAAGTTGCTTCTCGAACAGGGAGGCTACTCAGGTCCCCAAACTTTCGAGCGCACACTTTCGCTTGTCAGCAGGTACAGGAAAGCGCTTGACGAAGGCCCAAAGCACATTGCACCACCCTCAGAAGCACGCACCGACGAGCCAGCCGCTGGCCAGAGCACATACGGAAAGTCCTCTACCGGGTCTTCCAAAACCAAGCCAACGCTCGATCTCGATCAACCGTCCCCAACACAACTCTCTTCCAACGTCGACGATCTTTCCGAATCAGCACCTACAATGACCCTTCACTCTACACCCAGGACTGCGCCAGCACCAAACGCACCACGCAAGGTTATATTCGCGACGGGCGGCATCACAAATGGTCGGCAGGCGAGAGAGATCCTCGATTCGGGAGCGAGTGTGGCACAGGTATACACTGCTATGATCTATGGCGGTGCAGGCATAATCAGCAAGATCAAGCAGGAGATGAGGGACGATGCAAAGGAGCAGAAGACGATCACCAAGCGGTAGCCAGAAGAAGCGTGGGTAGGCATTGTATGTATACACTGTCTTCTCTAAATGCATTACTCAATTCATGAGATTGTCCTTCACTCTACGAGCCAAGTGTGCAGGGGCTCATTCGTGACGCAAACATATCCTTCAGTTTAAGACGCTGCTGGCTGACTCTCATTAGCCAGCCAGTCTACTACCTCTACCGCCAGTTTCATGAAATCCAGCGGCTCAGGAGGAACTATAATCTTCCCGTTAAGCACTAGCCTCAGTAGAAGCTTGATGCTGCCGCACGACTTGAGTTCTGCCCGTAAGCCCTGTCGCTTTGCTTCGCTCGCAATCAAGATGGTTACCATGGCACCATCAGTAAGACAGAAGTGGCTCTGCTTCATCTTGTGTCTTGCACGTAGTGCAAAAGATGCCTTACTTTCACACTGCTTAAGAACTTGCGCGTCTATCGAAACACCCGCATCAACCAGGTGGCGGGTCATAAGGAAGTGAGTCGTTGCCCTGTCTGCAAAAGTTGTCATACCTTCGACGAGATGTTGTGATCCGATATGGGCGCCGTAGCTTCTGAGGACATCGACCAACTTTCGATGTCCGTAACGAGCTGCTTCCAGTGATGTTTGTTGAATGAGGTGATCCCGATTAAAAAGCACGAAATCGCCACCAAGTATGCGGCATACGAGTTCGGAATGTCCAGCTTCGCAAGCTTCTTTTAACGCGTACTGCAAATCGCTGTGGTGATCCCCTGGATTGCGTTTCGGGATATCGTCCTTCAAAATCGTCACGAGGGTTTCGGTTTTGCCGTTTTGTGCTCCATCGGTAATCAACTTTTTCCAAATCTCTGGGATTCGGGCTTCACGGCGAGTGACGAAAAATTCTAGTAACATTCGCACTGATTCTGTGTCTCCAGCTTTCATGGCATGGCACACCGCAGTCTCGAATGTGACGAGAATCCAGTCACGTTCCCGCGCTCCAAGAGTCGGGAAATCATGTCTTGCAAGCTCTACAAGCTTGCGAACCATTGGAGTGTGGCCACACACTGCAGCTGCTTTGATCGGGCCAGTGAGTATGCCAGAAGTGTACCCCAGAGGGTCTGCCCCTTGTGCTATGAAATGATCGACAGCTTCGATATTTCCCACAGCGGCCGCCGCGGTCAAAAGATCTACCGAGGTTATCGGCGTTGCAGAGTGCTTCAAATCTTTCCTTCGATCGTTATCCATTGTATCTGGGGGTAAGAAGTCCGGCTTGCTGGAATATTTGTCGGAACCATCTCGCAGTATTTCCATGCCTGGTCTTAGGACGCTATAGGTGAGACATATATCACTAAGATAGGCTTTGCGCACAGTAGTGTCAATGACATCGTTTGTTGGGTTCGCAAATTGCATCATCTCGTCAGTAAGTTTGTCTGTTGTCGATATTCCGTTAGCAATTTGGACTCGACTTTTCGCCAAAAACATTTTCTCACTTACTGAGGCACTTGGTCAAGTCCCGGTTCATACCACGATTGCGCATACAATGATTCATGTGCAAAGTATGCGAATTCTTTCGGAGGAAAGTTGGTGGTCCGTTATCATGACGGTCATCAACTTCCGGCTCGATGTTGCGGAGATATGTCTCGTAGACGATTGCCGGAGTTTGCGCCAACAGTACGTGGTCGATCGCATTTCGAAACGTCCCTAAAGACGCATCAGTCGCGAACAAACAATGCCGATGCAAAGTGAAGAATTAATATGAACCTGCTCGGATCTCTATCAAAGCAATCGAGTATGTACTTACGAGACACGATGCGAGCACGAAAGCTCTCGTGGAGCGGGACGGTATCGACGTACACTTTCAGGATTGGGTCGAAGAGCTCCGCAGGTAGGGTTTGGATCAACGTCATGGCGAAGGTAGCACGATTTACTTGGACTGTGTCTTGTTTGATAGCTACATGTGTCGTGCTACGACATAGGAAGCGGGGAAGGGGCTTGTTGGATTCTTATCGATGAAACTTGCAGGGTTCGGAACACCTCGCACGTCCCTAGGTAAACAAAGGGTCCCTTGGTGAGGTAAGCGAGACGCGACCATGGGCGAGATCCTTTTGTGTGCGCGCTCGTCTCGTAATAATCCAATTGCGATAACTTTAAGGGGTACTTTACGTAGTTAGGTGTGTAATAACTCTAACTTGCTGACGAATGCTGCGCTGGTACGTCTCCATGTAGATCCGAGCTCGTCACGGTCACTCGATTTGCAATGCAACGGCTTAACTCTCATCAAATTTCAGATAGAATTTGACGCTCTTCCATCCCGATAGATCTCTTGATGTCAGTTATGATGGGAGATAATGCACGACGAGGTGAGCCGTCACCTCTTCACGATGACGTCAGACATCATCACATCGGCTACCTCTGTGCACGTCCCCTAAGAAGCTGGCGATAGATGGGCGGCCCAATTCGATCGCGATGCAAGATCAACATCTTCATTCCAGACTGATATCAGCGCTCTTGATACTACCATGGATACACAT